TTGGAACGGCTTTGATTCAGACGTCGAACTTTTCATGAGCCGAACCTAATGCATAAATTATTATAACGTATTTTACAAGCAGTTTCCGCTTTGTCTGAAAATCGCTGACATTTCGATGTGATTTGGTTTAAACTAAATAAAGTTCGGCGAATTAAGTTCGACGTCTGAATCAACAGGTGTACTTTTGATAGTTTGGGTCGGTCCAAATTCGAAATAAGTTCGGCTCATGAAAAGTTCGGCGTCTGAACTGGGCCTTAGTTTCGACTGCTGGGCATATCTCTTTCTCTAATATTTCATAGTGCAAAGTGGTTTTGATATCTTAGAATCAGTTTCCCTCAGTGGCGGATTTATAGGAGGGGCCCGGGGGGCCCGCTCCCCCCTCTTATTTTGACTGAAAGAAGAAGAAATGACTGAGGGAAGAAAAGCCGGCAGGGCAAGTAAAAGAAAACCGACCGACCCCCTCCCTTAGCTCAAAGTCTGGATCCGCCACTGTCCCTTAACCTCAATCTCCAATTCTATTTTCTAACAAACTTTCTTACAAGTTTCTTGTATCCTTATTTCTTGTTGTATCATTTTCATCAATTCAGAGAGCAATAAATTTTACGTTAACAAAAACCAGAACTGAACAAACTGTTTAATTAACCCCTTGATTTATAAGCTTATGGGCTTGTTTCCCAACTTTAACTTTTGTTTCTGAGATGTTTATGTTGTCTTATCATTCTTTTATGTATGATTTATAGCTAAAAAAATACTCCTTAAAATATAAACACGAGGGTTCTACTGACAAAATACACCACTCCGAAAATTCATAAGAAACTATTTCCGGGACTCGGGTGGCGTATTTTCCATCCTCTCACTACCCGGGTCTCACTGGGGAGGATATTGATGTCGGCGTTTCCCCGCTTTTTCACGTTGTTTGAGCAAACCGGATCAGTTTCCCTATATTTTTTTGGTCGATATATTTTTTGTCTATTTATGCGCTTGTTCGTAAAATATTGTTTTTACCATTCGAAAGTAAAATTCATATCTTCGCACTGCCGATTAATAAGCTCATGTCTAGGGTAGAAATCAAGCCCCAATTTAACAGGTAAAAATTACATTATTTTCACCTACAAATTAGAAAGAAGTCTGAGAAAACAAGAGCTGTGTATCGAATTCACTTGTTCCGTCCAGAAGTGAAATATCAGTCGACACTCAGATTGAAGAACATTCCTGCCTCAAAGTATGTGGTTTACATGAAAGGTTACGGCGTGTATCGTATAGCAATTTTTGAGTCTTGTCAGCTTATTCATAGCTTAACACTTGGAAAGTCTCTTCATTGGTAATTTAAACCCTTAAAATAGACTCGAATTGAGAAGATTCCTAAGTGATAAAACAAAAGAAGCTTTTGAGAGTCACAATGCCCAGGACCGATGGCGAAGAAATGATTTCGCAGCCACGTCAACGCGGAAAATGACCAGTTTTTGCATGAAGTCATCCTTGGAGTCGTTTTGATTTTCTTCCCTGTTTAAGGTACATATTAATGGCGTTATCTTGAAATAACATATTTTTAGGTAGGATTCTTAAAATAGTAACCGGGCGAGCTGTTTTGGTTGAATTTGGCCAGTTGTTCAGTAACTTCGTCATTTCCCAGACGGTTGCAATCACTCTCAGCTTAAGAGCATGACAATTCCTTTAGATATTTTCGGTTTCACAAGTGCTAAAATCAGTGCTTATCTGCGAAACAAGTTGGTCGAATTTCCATAATCATTCGGTTATGACGTTAAATTTCATGATCCGAGATACTGGAAAAAGGGAAGCAAACAAAATGAGTCTATCTGTCCTTTCGTTTTAATTCGTCACCACTATTGAGTAGAGCGAATAATGAAAATTGTATTAAGAGCACATATTTAAAACCATTGAGATTCTATGTAAATTTAGTTCCAAAGTAACCCTCTGAACTGTGATCAATTCAAGACTCAAGCACTGACTCACGCTATCGGACTTAAAAGTTTAACTTTGCTAAAATGATTTGCGCTTTTTTCTGCCTTTCTCTGATGGCTAGCGACTTCTAGGAAACTGCAATTTGAAGTGTACACGTACAATCTGAGAACAAATTGTGGCTTTCCTGGTTTATGCAGAGCCAGATCGCAGGGGAGCAACCAAGCGCAAAAAAAGAATAATTGTTTTTCCATTTGTGATGATGATCTTTGCTTCATGCGTCGAACTGCTAATTGATGTCTTTATCTTGATAAATGGACGAGCTATTAAACTAAAGTGACACTTTGTAAACGCTAAAGAGGCTTGAAAAGTTCTCTCACTAGAAAAATATGTGTGTTTGCTATTCTAGGAACGGCTTTGTCCGATCAAGTGGTCAGGAATTGAGTTTGGTCAAGACTGACGCTGTGCAATTTAATACACTGAAACTTACTCCAATCTTGTATTCGCGCCCGACAAACATTCTTAATGCAATTTGATGTCCTCGATTCGCCTCAGTGAGCGCTCTCAGCCAATCAGAATCTTGGAATTGTTTCAAGCAGATGACAAGTTGTTCCCACACAAATGTTTTCAGAAAAAGTCAAAGTGTTTAATTTGTCGCAGCATTTCAAGTTTATGAAAGCTCCGCCTGCCGACTTTAGTTCGTGAATAGAATTGGCCTTTGTCGTATGTAAGGAGGCAACTTGTAAGAAAGGTACTTTCAATTTCAGTTAGAGTATACATTCGTACACGAAATTTTAGCTTTAATTGATATGTGTTCCCCAGCTTCCTAATTACCTTGAGTTGATGGGATTGCTTGTTTACGATACAAAGTATTTTGCAGTGATCAGTTAGAACCGCAATGATCTCAAAGAACTGAGTTGAAAAACTAACAGAAGACCGAAGGCAACAGTCGACTGAAATCCTGATTCCAGGAGAAATCGTTTCACTGATCACAAAGGCAATCAGCGTTTATAAATGCTGAGTAGCGAAATAGCCCAGATGATAAGCTTCTCTGCTGTTCCAAGGGCCTCTCGAAAGTTGAGCAGCAATAAAGATCTTTAACAGGACATTGCTGACACTCAGTCCGCTGTATCAGGGTAGCTAAACATTCCCACACTGCTTTCTCAAGCCCTGTCTTTACAATTCAACCACATCTTTTTCCGCTAAATATATTGATTATCATTGTCGGTGTTAAATTTTCATTTCCGTTTTGTGTTTTGAAACAGGAATTCAAAGCTACTCCTACACGACCTGCTTATAACAGACTGCGGGAAAAACCTGAACATGCGTAGGAGAAAAACAAGCCATCAGCCGAACTTCAAAGCTGCACGCGCGGTTGTTCTAGGACAGGATGGGGTCGGCAAATCAGGTATCTTACTCACTCTAGTTATTTACACCCGGCGAGCGTGCAATACTGGAGGATATTACACGCAAAGCGTGAAAATGGTAGTGGTATTATCTTATCAGACAGATTTTTCTCGCGCTCCATTTCGATTTATTACTATAAAAAGCAATAAACACTTGAAATCTTAAGTGCCAGTACCTTTTGTGACTTTCGCGACAGACAAGGTTGAATTAACAATCTGCGTGTGATTCAAGCCCCACGGCAAATCTGAACCGGGTCTGGGTGCTTTTTATAAAGTCATGATTTATTGGTAAATTGATTTGTGTTCGACCGTGTCAGTTATCCTTGTTAAGCTGTGCCTTTGATAAACTTTTCACGGCCACTGTAATCACAGTGTAATCATAGAAATTCATATCTCACACCCTTTGTGTCTTCACAAGATTTAGCCCTGATTCACATGGGTCCGCTGAGCGTGCATATCCCATTTGTTTGGAGGTTTTTTTTTTATTATTAGAATCAGGTAATGTTGATGATCCGTTGAAATCAATATAAGAAGTGATTTTTACATGGCAAATAGCCAGGTGCAAGTAAGAAAAACCACAAGATTACATCTACTTTGCTCTGGCTCAAGAATTCCCGAAAAACTTCCACTACTTCCCTGAGATTATCAAACGAGTTTTCGACCAGTCTTTGCGCAGATTTAAAAAAAACAACAAAAACAATTGAATTAAATACCGCGAACATTTCTCGAAGGTTCAGTATACATGACGGCTACCCTTCATTTCAGGGGGTCATTTTTATAGAGAACAGCGATATGAAAATAAAGTATTTTTACAAGATTCTTTAATTAGATTGAAAAATTTCAATTTTTGGCGTTTTCCCATTACGGGCGAAAAGAAAAACATATGGCCCATATGCACTTAGCAACTGACCCGGTGTTCGGATATTGATTGATCCACTGAGATGAAAAGATAACAACCCGTAATTGCTTTCATCTCTCTTTGCTAATTAGCATTTGCCTTTGTTTCGTAATTCTGCTAATTATCTCTAGAAAATGAAGCAATAAATGTAAATAGAAAATATAAATCGAAAACAGTGGCGCGGCTTAATAGGCAACCCTTGAAAACGTTAATTGATTTCCGACCACGTTTCTGGCGGCTAAAACAACTTTTCACGCTGCTAAAATATGTACTATGAGACATACAAGATGCTAAACTGTCTTCCAAATTCTACACCTAATGAAGTCTTCTTGACTGATGTCCTTGCTTAATTCCGGGGGTTTTAACGAAATTACAGCCAAACGATTTTAAAGAATCTGAGATGCAACGATAGCCGTTTGAAATGGCTTTTTCCAGTTTATTGTGCTCATCTTATGATCGATAATCGTCAACCAATAACTTGTTTGTTTATTTGTTCATTTTGTTTTGTTTTGTTTTTCAGCGCTTATCGTTCGTTTTCTTACACGAAGGTTTATCACAGAGTACGACCAAACACTTGGTATGTAAGGAACATTTGTTGATATTGATAATCAGCGCATTGCATTAGCAAAAAAAGGACGTTAGAGCTAATTGTTTCTGCGCATCCTTACAGCGCAAGCAAATTCACACGTCATGGATCGAGTGCGCGCTAAGTAATAAAATGAATAAAATAAGTAATAAAATAGGGCAGATTGCCATTGCTACAGCTTTGCCTGGATTTAACGATCTTGGACGTTCGGTGACCCCTGTTTTTCTTTCGATGGATCATTTTCTCTACTGATTTTCTACGTTAAGCGAAAAAATGAAGAAAATTTATCGATTAGAAGTCTGAATTTTTTGCAAAATGCACCATCGAATTCCGTCCGTACTTTTTAGCTCTTCGTTCATTTGTGCGGCGGTTTCAAATGCCTCTCGAAGGGTTAAGTTTTGTGGAAACGTCGGAAACATTTGGAATTATTAACGCGACGGATTCACTTATACAAAATATTACTAGGATAGTTTGTCTCCGTTGATTCATCTTTGATATTTTAAGCTAAAAACCCTGGAGACCATGCTGATTTAC